CTAGGGACTTTCCAGGGGGAAAAAGTTGAAATAGCAATTGATTATAGCTCTTCTGAGACTGATTCTATTTGACTGCTGCCTAAGGGGAGTTTTCCCAGCTAAAGACTAGTGGTAAGCCTCAGCCCTTCCCTGGCAGAAGAGAGAGCAGTAGGATTCTAATGCATTTTCTCTAAGCTCTTGTGACAGCCCTGGGGTGGGTGCACACATAGTACCCAGACCAATTGGCCCAAGCCCAATCAATCAGACAGCTTCTATTAAGCTCCTGCCATGTCCTAGGCACAAAGATACAAAGAAAAAGAACAGAGCTTACATTTTGTCAGGGAGACAACATAGAAGTGTATACAAAATAAAGACTCAAGTAAATTGGGAAGGGAAATACTACTGCCTGATGACATCAAGGAAGGCTTCCTGGAGGAGCTGGTGTTCCAGCTGTTTCAGGGAAACATGGGGTTCTGAGCAGGGTTGGGGGCAGGGGTGGATGCTAGGTATGGGAGGTGGACCAGAGCAAAAGTTCAGAAAGAGCAAGGAGGCCAGTTTGACCAGATATATTGCTCTGGATGGCATTGCTGTAGAGATGATTATTAAACTCATGGGAGCTGAAGAAATCACTGAGAGAGACTGTGTAGAAGAGAACCCAGATGGAGCTTTGGGGCACACCCACTGTTAGGGGATATGATACGGCTAATCGTCCAGCAAAGAAGACCGAGAAGTAGTCAGACAAGTAAGAGGAGCACCAAGAGAGAGCAGTGTTTCTAGCCCAGAAGAGAGGTTTTTCAGGAGATCTATATCTTGTGGGGGGCTAGCTAGAGGGATTAAGTGGGCAGGGTGCTAGGCTGTTGCCAGCTGTCTTGACTTGTGTCTTGCCACTGGACTCTGATGACTTTGGAAGAGAGAGTGAGGCTGATGACTGCAACTCTGCCTCACTTAAATCCAGTTCACTCAGAAGTCAAGACATCACCTCATAATGTCATTGGTCTTCCTCTAGAATGAAGAACGAACGACAGTCTGAGTAGGTGGGGTCACATAACGGAGAGAGTGTGGAGTGAGGAATTAGAAGATCTGAAATTTGAATCTTGTCTTTACTACTTACTATAAATAATTCCTCCCATTTCAGTCCTTGAGGCTTGCAAAATGCCTTTCTCACAACAGCAATGTGAGATTAAATAATATATGTGTCATTCCCATTTTATAGGTAGAAGAAATGGTCAGCTAGATGGCACAGCGGATGGAGTGTTGGCCTTGGAGTCAGGAGGACCCAAGTTCAAATCCAGACTTATACCTTTACTAGCTGTGTGACCATGGGCAAGTCATTTAACCTTGTTTGCCTGAGTTTCCATATCTGTAAAATGAGCTGGAAAAGGAAATGGCAAGCCACTCCAATGTCTTTGTCAAGAAAACCTCAGATGGGGTTATAGAGAGTCAGACACAATGGAAATGACTCAGCAACAACAAAAGGTAGAAGAACCTGTGGCCCTGACAAGGGCTGGGCACGTTGTGCAGAATTCCATGAGGAGGATGGTGGGAGTCAGACCCTTCTTTCTGTTCCACCACACTGCCTCTTACCAGTAACTGTATAACCTCGGACAAGTCATTGCCTTCCTTTGACCCCAATTTTCCCATCGGTAACATGAATTTGATGTCTTTATGTCTCTTCCATCCATAAAATCTGAGTTGAAATAGTTGCTATGTAGAAACTGATGCTGGAGAGTAGAAGTTACAGCTACTGGTGGCAGAGACATAATGCCTGGGGAAATTTGACTTTTGCTAATAGTGAAAAACTTAAGAATAGTAACAGTGAAGGAGTAAAGTCAAAAGAATAGACAAGGTTGCTGACTTCTGGTTCTCGTAAGTTTAGACTTTTATCAAACAATTTTCTTTATAGGAATCCATGCAGCAGCAGGAATTTACTAGTGAATAGCTTAGTAATTGGTATTGTATATTCATTAACATTCCTTGTGCTTCTCTTTGTAGGTGTTTGCAGGTTTGTGGGTGCCCTCTTACATGCCTGTGTGTGGGTTTTGGGCTTTTTTTTTTTGGTGAGGCAGTTGGGGTTAAGTGACTTGCCCGGGGTCACACAGCTAGTAAGTGTCAAATGTCTGAGGTCAGATTTGAACTCAGGTCCTCCTGACTTCAAGGCCAGAGCTCTATCCACTGTGCCAACTAGCTGCCCCTGTCCTTTGCTCTTTCTTCTTTCTCACACCCTCTCCACCTCCAGTATCTAAGCAATTTTGTCAGTTCAGCTTCCATACCATGCCATGTCTCTGTCTACTCTAAACGTAAGTACCCTAGTCTATGCCTTAACACTTCTTACTTGGACTGTTATAATAGCTTCTTAATTGGTCTTCCAACTTTCAGTGACTTCCCTCTTTAGTCTATCCCCAACACACAGTTGCCAAATTTATTTTCCTAAAGCACAGGTCTGACCATGTCACTTCCCTTCCCAGGAGGCTTCAGTGGCTCTCTGTTCTTCCTAGAAGACATATACTTCTATTTAGCAGTTAAAACCCTTCGTGTTCTATTCTAAATTAACTTTGCAGGCAGATTATACATTATTTCTCTGTACATATGCTGAATTCCAGCCAAACTGACCTATTTTCTGTTCCTCCTGATGATAACATGTCTCCTGCTTCTTAGAATCCCTCATTCCCTCCTCATGCCCAATGTGACCTCTTACAAGAGGGCTTTCCTCTCTTAGTTGCTAGTGTTCCCTTGGCCTCCATCGTTTGGTTATTTTATATTTATTTTGTCAATAGTCAACAAATATTTATTAAATTCTGTATGCCAGGCACTGTGCTCAAAGCTGGGGATACAAAGAAAGCAAAAAATGGTCCCCGCCCTCATGGAGCTCACATTCTAATGGGGGAGACAAAATGTTAAAAAAAAATGCATTCAAGATATGTACACTGTATGTTGTTTTTTTTTTTTTTGGCTGGGCAATGGGGTTAAGTGACTTGCCCAGGGTCACACAGCTAGTAAGTATTATGTGTCTGAGGCCGGATTTGAATTCAGGACCTCCTGAATCCAGGGCTGGTGCTCTATCCGCTGTGCCGCCTAGCTGTCCCTAAGATATGTGCACTGTAAATGGAAGGTAATTTTAGAGGGAAGATAACTAGTAGTGGAAGGGTTAGTGAAAGACTAAGAAAGACCACCAGCAGAAGGTAGGATTTGAGTTGAGTCTTGAGGGAAGCTAAAAGGTAGAGCTGATGAGGGGGAGTGTTCCAGCTATGGGGGACAGCCAGTGAAAAGGCATAGAGTCAGGAGATAGAGTGAGGAGGCCAGTGGTACTGGGCCATAAAGTACATTGAGGGAAGTAAAAAACAAGAAGACTGACAAAGTAGGAAAGGGCCAGATTGTGGACAACTTTTAAAACCACAGCATTTTTGTATTTGATCTTGGAGGTAATAAGAAGCCATTGGAATTTGAGTAGGGAGCTGTCATGGTCAAACCCGAATTTTAAGATCACTTTGGCAGCTGAGTGGACAGTGGATTGGAGGAAAGAGAGACTTGAGGCAGGAGGACCAACCAGAAGAATTTTTCAGTAATCTAGGCATGGTGGCAATGTGATCCTTCACCTTATGGGTGTAGCTAGGTGAGTAGAGAGAAGGGGTCATAGGAGAGATGTTATTTTCCTCATCATTCTGAACATTTAGATTAAATGATCATTAAGGCCTTTTCTTACTCAAAATTCTGTTAACACTCAGGATCTTTGTTTTATTACCCTATCTCCCTTTTTAAAAAGTTTTATTGATGACACATTGTGTGTGGAGGAGGGGAGTTATATCACATTCATTTCCCCCTCTCAAGAACCCTCCTTTGTAGCAAAGGAAAAACAGTTAAGCAAAACTGACCAACAAAGCAAACATGTCTGTCAGCATTTCAACCTTTTAACATCGTTTGTCTTCCTCCAGCCTCCCTCCCCACCAGAAGGAGGGAAGTATGTGTTTTATCAGCTGTTCTCTGGAACCAAAATTGGTCATTGCATTTAATTTGAGTTCAGCTGCCTTTTAGTGTTGTTTTTATTTACCTTATGTGTACGTTGTACTCTTAGTTCATTCTTCATTTTGCATCAGTTAATGCATCTTCCTCATGTTTCTCTTGACTTCTTCATTATAGTCACCATTTCTTTCAACCCTTCTTTTTCAACCCCTGGGAACCTAACAAAAAGTTTGTTTTTATGCTGCTAAAACCAAGCAGTTTATTTACAAAAGCCCTAGGTAATGCTGTTTCTTTTCTCATGGCTTGTTTTGTTTTGCACTCCCCTCACTTACTATGGGGATGTATCGATTCTTTGGGGCAGCAGGTGGTGCAGTGGATAGAGTGCTGGGCCTGGAATCAGGAAGACTCATCTTTGTGAGTTGAAATCTGGCCTCAAATACTTCCTAGCTGTGTGACATTACATCCACATGTCACAATTTGTTCAAATTGATAGGTACTTGCTTTATTTTTTTGTTTTGTTTTTTGCTACCACAAAAAGTGCTAATATGACTATTTTAGTATATGAGAGATCTTTCTTTCCATCTTTGACTTTCTTGGGGTATATGCCTAATAAGATCACTGAATATGACAGTTTAGTAATTTTTCTCACAGAATTCCAAATTATTTTCCAGAACAGTTGGAGCAGTTTACAGTTCAACCAACATTGCATTAATGTGATTCAAGCTCTTTATACAGAGTTGTCTCCAGCTTTTTCATTCCTTCCCTCACTATTATGCCAAGGAGGAAAGCCACTACCGAGCTAACAGTGTTTTCTCTTAGTCTGTATGAACAAGATAGGGATAACTTCATCCTTAGACTTTTCCTCCCACCATCAATTAGCTTCTTACCCAGTAGATTAAAACATTATTCATTAAATCATGTCTTTAAACCTACACAATACTTGGATAAAATTTATTTGCTTTTCATTGGTTCTCCTGTTCCTCTCCTATCCATGTCACCACCCTGTCCCCTGCCCCCAATCTTGGAGCACAGTGTTCATACCGTTGTGTTTATTTATTTATTAGCAACTTCTTCGTGAGATGCAACAGATGGCCAGTCGTCCCTTTGCCTCCATCAATGTTGCCTTGGAAACAGATGAAGAACCACCTGATCTTATTGGAGGAAGCATAAAGGTGAGAGGGTATCTTGGAGAGTGGACCCTGGGGTACTTTATCTGCATGGTGCCTTGTTCCCCTAGGTCTGGGGAAAGCCCAAGACAGGGAGTCTCAATTTTCTTTCTTTTTCTTTCTTTCTTTTTTTTTTTTTTTGCTTTTAGGCAGTTGGGGTTAAGTGACTTGCCCAAGGTCACACAGCTAGTAAGTGTCAAGTGTTGGGTCTGAGGCCGGATTTGAACTCAGGTCCTCCTGACTTCAGGGTCGGTGCTCTATCCAGTGTGCCACCTAGCTGCCCCTCAATTTTCTAATAACCTTTTTTTCTCCTTTTCCTCTAAGCTAAAATGCTGCTACTATAAGGTCTTGTTTTGCCTTTATTTTCATTACTCCAGAATGTGCAATTAAGTCTTGGGTTCTATTGGTTTTAAAAGAATAAACCATTTGTTTAGTTTTCTTGCTTGTATTCTGAAAGGCTGCAGTTTAATACTGCAGAACATTTGGCTGGAAATAGCTGTGGGTGCTGCTAATGGAAACCATTTCAGTTCATGTTCATGTGTTTTTGAGACCTGAAAATGAGCAGAATAGTAATTGACAGTGTCTTCTATGAAGATATAAATATTTTCTAGCAAAAAATGTTTATGAAAAATGATGTATACAAACAAATGAAGGGGAAATGATAATGCTTCCTTCTCACTTAGTGGAGGTTAAGATATCCTTCTGTTTGAGATGCACAGGTTGGAAAAGGACAGCTGTGTTCTTCAGGCAAATATACATAAGGAAAAGGCACTAACACATCAGCGGTTTGTAAGGAAGAAACCTAGCATGGTCTATGTTGTCAAGAACTATGTCGCTGTCACTTGATAGGTTTTCCACTGAATTAGTAAACACGCAGATGTTACTCCCCAAACACCGCAGCCAGGTCTCTTCGAGGTCCACATCAAATGACTGTGGCATTTAATCCCTTATTCATGTTGTAGGAGGAGTGATTTGAGAAATTTATGACCATCAGCTGCCATTGTGTCAGAGAGTGGGTTTCAGATGGATCTGACCAGACGTGTTCCGAATCCTGATTACTACAGGGTAGGGAAGCAGCTGGAGACGGCCCTGAAAAGATTAGTTTAATGAACTGAGAATGCGGAGGAGACTGTGGCAAGAAATGATCATTGTCTTCGTGTGTTTGAAGGCCCGTCACATGGAAGGAGGGATTAGACTTATTCTGCTTGACCTCACAGGGCAGAACTAGGAACAATAAAAGTTCCTGGCAGGGAGATTTTCGCTCCATGTAAGGGAAAATGGCACTGAAGCCTAAGAGCTAAAAGGCAGGTTCATCTCCAACAGCCATCAAGGTGTCTGTCCTTTGCACAATTGGCATTTCGTAGGTTTTAAGAAACACAAGGGGGCGCTATGGATCAATTTGCTGCAGTCAGAGACAATGGCCTCTCTGGTGTGGTGTGGGTCTCCCCACACAAGATGTCTCGCAAAATTGTTCCCCTTTTTCAACCAGTTCACTTATTCCAGTTCTTTCAGCCCCGGGTGTAGGGTGTAGACAGAAAAGAAAAGAAGAAAAAGCACTTCGTGTTCAGGGAGCATTGGAGTCCAGAGATTCTGAAGTGCTAACGCATGATCATTGTGTGGCTCTGAGCAAGTCACTCATCCCCTGTAAGCCTTAGCTTCCTCCTCTGTGAAGTAAACTCATAGAGTTGTTTGGAGGAAAGTTCTTGGTGAAGTTTAAAGCACTTTAACAACATGGTGCTCTGGTCTTAGAGGGAGTTTTGGATGCTAGCAGTTAAAGTGCTCTGGTCTGTTCTTATCATCATTACAATTGTGAGTTGGTTTCAAAAAGCTCAAATTTCTGGTGTCATAAGTTTGAAAAGAAAATCAGGAAAACAAAGGGCCAGAGGCCACACTTAACATGCGTACAGAGAAAGGAGACCTTGGACACCCACTCACAGACCAGTCACTTAGAAATGTGATTTTCAGTCACTTGGTCTCAGGTACAGTAGAGACCAAGTTGGTGCCCTTCTCACCTCCCCTGGCTCCCCCACAAGACAGACACATGAAAGAACTCATGATTAGCCTTCCCTTAGGCTTCCTGTTGATTCTAGACCTCCTCTGGAAAGATTTATACAGTTCAAGCCATCAATTAGCCAGCATAAGGTTTCCTTTAGAAACCTAAAAAGATCTCCTAAAGTCAAACATTTTAACAATCATTTGTTAAGAACTTACTAGGTCTGGAGGCACAAATGCAAAAATGGAACAGTTCCTGATCTCAAAAGGCTACATTCTACAGGGATGACAACACAATAAAATGTTACGGGAGCAGACACAGGCAGTTTGGAGAATCAGGTCAGGCTTCATGTAGAGGGTATCACCAACTTGTTCTCACAGGATTGAAGGGGAACATAGAGATCATGTTTTCTGAACACCTGTCACAGTATAAGGACAGGTCAAATCAATTATTTTTAAGGCCCCTTTAAAGATTTGTAAAATATTTTTTCCACACAACATCCCTGTGAAGTAGATAACTCAAGTATTATCATCCCCTGCTGTCAGGGAGCTCATAGTACAATGGGAAAGGGCGCATCTACATGAAAAACTTGTAAGGCCATGTTCACGGTATGCCTCCATTTAACATCTTCCTCTGATGCCTCTTCATGACATGGAGGCAACCTCGTGTGTGTGTGTGTGTGTGTGTGTGTGTGTGTGTGTGTGTGTGTGTGTACACACATATCACTGCTACTTCCCTAAGGTACAGCCCTCCACCCCATTCCCTGCCCTTATAGCAGAGAAAACTAGTTAAGAAAAACCATCACTGTATTTGTCATGGACAAAAATATTCAGAGTGAATTGCATAGAATTATTGAAAAGGGTCATCTGATTAGGCTGAGATGAGGTCACCTGGCCAGAGAGTAAGTGTCCTGAGTCCTTCAAGGACATTGTCTCTTCCTGAAAGTGCTACCTACATGAAAGACCACTCTTGGCCCTAACTTCATTTCTCTGGGGTTTATCCGTTTCTGTCAGTATAGATGCCTGTGAAAACAGGCTGATGAGCAAATATAGGACATAGGCAGATGTTTGAAATACCCGTTGTTATGTTTGAGGCCAGAAGGCTGAAGACAGATGGATCATTTTGACATTTAAATAATGCCTTTGACCAACTCTTTCTTGAATCTGTACATGAGCATGCACACAAACGTGTGTGCATGCACTTTTCTTTTCCCCTCACTCATTGAAAAAGCAGTTTTTGTCATCCCTAGTGGGAATGGCTACCAGAGTGGGATAGTTTCTTTTTATGCTCAACCAGTGAATGAAAATATGCAGTCCTGACTGTCACATAGCTGCTGCAGCTGACTGCCTCCTTGACATGATATGATGGACCCAGAATAGTATTTACCTCTTGTCTTGCTGTTAGGTATTGACTTTCTTTGGTATTTATAGTTTCCCTGAGAAGGCAGTGTCTATCTTACTGTCATTTGGAGGGATCCTTCCCCAGTCCCATTGATTGGCACTGACCTCAGAAGTTACTGAGGTTCCTCACTCCTGTCTTCCATCTACTTGCTAGTGAGGCCTAGGCCATAGCCATTTTAAAAGTTGTCTCTACTCTTGTATAAACCTCATGCAGTCAGCAAGATGTCTTTTCTCCATCCCTAGATCCTGGGAATTCTTTCCAGCTCTCCAGTCTCAACACCTAGCCTTAGCTGAGAGAATTCATTTGACCCATCAGTCCTCACAGTATGGCTGTTCCAGAGCGTGATCAAAGCTCAAGGGAGCTGCCTAGTCCCTTATCAGAATAGTTGTCTTCTCCTGTGCAGAACTAGTTGTAAGAAGAGGGAATTCCCTCATTGAGGTGGGTGACCCTGCCTGGGGAATACTCTGCTGCCAAGTTCCCCCCAAAAATGATGCTGCGTAGAAGCGAAAAGCTCCTGCTGAAAGTAGCTGTGGGGAAGGAAATATAACTCATTTAGAGGAGAAGATTGCCAAACCTTTCCCTTAAACTGAAAGTTTTCAGTGCTTCTTCCTCCTCTTCTCCGCCCCCCCCAAAAAAAGCTGCAAGAAACTCCACCCACTCACCAGCCACTAGACTCTAGGGAGTGTCCAGCTGGAGGCCATGCTACCCAGATCCCTGACCCTGAACTGCACCACCATGGTAGCTCCAGCTCACACTGAGGCCGTGCTGGCAGGGCCTCTTCCTTCTACCGCTTCCATTCTTGAACAGAAACATGAGTAGAAAATTTTTAGAGGTACAGCAAAGAAAATGCATAAAAGACACAGGGCATAAAATTCCTTAAGAAATGCATGTTTGAAATATTGATGATAAATTAATTTGGATAATAAATATATTAAAAGTAATTAAGAAAGCACTCTAACTATTTAGAATAAACATGAGGTAAAGGAAAATTAGAGAAATTGCAATTTGATATTTAAGAACTTAAAAATTTTCATGGAGTTAGCAAATAACAAAATTAGGAGTCATGAGTTTAGTGCTGGAAGGGAACTTTAGGGGTAATGTAGTTCAAACCTTTCATTTTACAAATGAGGCAGCTGCATCCCAGAGAAGTAAGGTGATTGTCTCACAATCATGCACAGTCAAGAGACAAAATCCATCAACATGTCGCTTAGAAGAAGCACACAGTGCAGAAAGATACGACTGGATTCAAAGCAAGGTTCTTGTCTGAAATACGTTGTCCAACTACAGGTCCAGAAAATGGAGCCTGTAACTGATACTGACAAAGTAGAATTCAAACTAGGAGACAGAAGATGATGCTTCATAATAGTGAAATGAAAAACAAATGTGTAACAATTCTCTAATTGTCCCAAACAATTCAGCAGTTAAATTCATAGAAGAAATGTATTTTAAAAGCTAGTATTAGGGGATTTTAAAACAGCATGTCAGATATAATCAACAGAAAAATTCACAATAAAGAAATCACAAACTTGAACTGCTTATTTAATAAATCAGATTTTACATTCCCCACCCTTAGAGAGAACTGAATGGGTGAAAAAAGGAATACACGTTCTTTTCAAGTACACATGGAATGCCCACAAAAATAAATCACATGCCAGGTCAGAGAGAAGTCCTCCATAAATTCAGAAAGGCAGAAATGATACAAACCACATGCATGGCTAGTGTTTGAGAAAATATTTGAAATTAGGTCTTCAGAGGTCTAACTCTTAACTCTAACTCCTAAGTCCAGTGCTCTGTCTACTTTACCATGCTACTTCTCTGTAGAAACTGAAAAAATAATCTTTTAACCAAATGGATTGAAGAAATCAGAAAAAATATATATTTAAATACAATGACAAAAATAATACTACATATTAAGATCAATGGGATAGGTAGACTTCTAGCCAAGATGATTACCTGAATGGAAGCAGGTTGCCCAGCCCTCTCATATTTATCTAGTTCAATAAAAGTCTGAATTTATACCACCAGATTGAACAATAATCAAACCCAGTGAGAAGCTACAGTAAGTGACTTCTTCTATCCCCCAAACTGCACAGAAGTTAGCTAGCAGCCCACAGCAATAGGAAAGTAGATAAGTAGTCAGCTCTAGCACAGGCAAATAAACCTTTTACCTCCTGGCACAACCAGAGAAGAGCCAGGGCTGTCCAAAGACAGCATGAGTGAAGGGCTCCTCAAAATGTTTGATAAGCCTATAGAAATAAAATCATGGGTAGAAAGTCATTATTTAACAAATATTCTCTATCATATACTTCAATGATTTTTAGCTGTGTGATAGTCTTGAACATTAAGGGGGGAAAAAACTTAAAAAATGGAAGAAAACACAGTAATATATTTATCTCAGATATGGAAGAGAGATAACTTTTTCAGTACAAAAAACCTCAATGTAGTCAAAAGAAAATGAAAAAAAGAAGATTGTGGGAAATAGGTACTGCAAAAATGACACACAGATTTGACATCTAAACCATATAAAGAATTCTTTTTAAAAAATGGACAAAATTAACTCCCAGTCCACAATGGATAAATGGTCAAAGGATAGAAGCAGGTAGTTTTGCAAAGACTTGAAAAATGTTGAGACTCATGAACAATCAAAGATATGCAAATTAAAACAACTTTAAGGTAATACCCAACAAATTGCCCAAAGTAATTAAAAATAATGAAATTCAGTGCTGATGATTCTATGAGAAAATTGGTATATTAGTTCCTTGCTAATGGAATCGCAAACGTACAGCCTTTGGGAGCGCAGTCTGGCAATATTGCCTACAAAGTTACAGAAATAACCATACCTTTTGACCCCGTAATTCAGTTAATCTGAATATGTTATCAAAAGCAAAGGTTCTAAAAAGAGCTGTTCAGAGATTTTCACGAGAGTATTATCTCTAATTGCCCCCCCAAAAAAACCAAAACAAAATAGAAGTACACTTATGTCCAATATTGGGGCAGTGGTTGAATAAATTGCATTCCATTGCTATAATGCAATATTATAATATAGTTAAGTTTGATTGGGATAAGGAACATAAAGAAATATGGAAAGATCTTTATGAGATTATGTAAAATGAAAAAAGCAAAACCAAAAGGACAGAATACATACTAACTATGATTGTATAAGATGAAATGGGAATAAATGAACAAGCATAGAATCTTGATGGAGACTTAAAATTTTTGTAACATTTTAGATGTTGAACTTCATTTAAATGTAAATGGCTAAAAAGAAAGTGTGATTGGTTGAATTGATACTGCAATTTATAACAAATAATTTAATAAAAAAGAAAAGGTAAAGTAAAGTGAGAGCATGAGTCAGAAGACTTGGGTTCAAGTTATTTAAGTTATTTAAACTCCTCATCTGTAAAATGACAGGCTTGGACTTGGTGATTTCTAAGATATCTTCTCATTCTATGTCTTATAAACGTTAAACAGACTGAGAACATGGGCTGTCCAGCAATTCAAAGGGCCACCAAGCGAGAGGAACAAAGACTTGTCAGGAATGATGGAGGGAGGGGAAGAGCCGCAGGTAGGAAGTTTCGTTTTCCAGGTAAATGTTAGGACTGTGTGATCTCTCAGGGCGTTCTGGAACTCCGATAGGACAGAAAATTGTACAGGGCAAAAGGAGATAACAGAACCAAAGGGTCAGGGGTGGAGAGAGAATGGAGGGGGAAACGTAGGATGGAAGGTTAAGGGAGGCAGGGGTGAGGCCATCTACTCCCCTCACCAAGACAGAAGGCTGGGAACAGGAGGATGGCTTCAGCTGCTTCCTGGCTTCCATGCCATCAGCATAAGAAATGGGATGATTGTAAGAATATAGCCCATATACATGCTTTGCAGAAAAGAAATTATTGTGAACTTCTGTGATTTTATTGAAAGAACCAACAGGAAAACTATGTGGTCATCAACATACCCAGACTGGGTTTTATCTTCCTAATCTGTGAAAGTCCAATTTATATTACCCTGAACAGATGACAAGTAAGGCCCTGTTGTAGTGATGCCAGTTTCTTTTGAGCATAAAATGATTTTAAGTTCAATTTGTTTAGCTCACTCTACTATGTTTTATTGGGTGCTGATAATTTAATTGTGATATTTGATTCTTCTCTTTCTAGCTAGTAGGAACATGTCTCTGGGCCTCTTATTAAAGTATGCCATGACAGTTTTAAATTAAATGAATGAGTAGCAATTATTTGATTAGCATGTATGAAGATGATATCAGAGAATGAAATGGGCACCGTGCTTTTGCATAGTCTTCCGAGAGGAGAATTTGGAAGTGATAATTACTGCTCAGCAGATCAAACTAGTCCTCTGCTAGTTGAGACAAATGCATAACTAATAGCAGATAAATGGAGATCGATATTCAGCCTCATAACCATATAACTCAAGGTGGCATCTGGGGATCATAATGTAACAGGTGCTCTCCTTTTCTGCCGGTAGAGGAACAGCAGTTTGACTTGGGGGGGTCTCATCACCGGTGAGCAGTCCTGAATCTATAAAGACAGTTGGCAGTTGTATTCAGTGGTAGCTTCATTAGTCGTGCTTTGGCTTACTCTTCATTGGTATCGCCAGCTTCTCAGCTGGTCTTAGGTAGTTCCATTATAAGTCCATTAAAGCAAGATTCAAAGTGGCCATAACAGTTGTGGCCCAGAATACACAAGATTCATTACCACCAGCATGACCACTTAGGCCCCTACTACATATGTCCACGAGGTTACTCATAGCCAAGAAGGGAACTGGCTTTCAGTCGTACAAAGTGCTGAGTGTCAGGGAAGGACCTGATCTATACTGCCAAATGGAACCAAAAGGGCCAAGACACCAAGCAGTCACTTTCACCCCTCTTCTTTTAGGTTAGGGGCCAGCAGCCTTTCAGAAGTAGCAGGCCATGGCGCAGAGCCATTGTACCTGGACCCCTGGCAGGAGAAGGATGATGTGTGTTGGTTACAAAGTATGGATTCTCGAGTGGAAAAGTGTGTGCCTTTGTACCTAGCACAGCACCTGGCACATAGTGGGCAATTAATAATGCTTGTGGGTTGATTGATTGATAGTGTGTGTGTGTGTGTGACAGCGTGTTGGGCTACTGACTCTCAAGCCAGGGTGGGCGTGGCATGGAATGGGGAGGGGGAAGTGCAGTGACAGGCAGCAGCTTTCAAAAACCACAGGAAGGGGGACCCTCCTGCCACGAAAATTAACCTGTATGTAATCTTTGGTGTGCATGCCAGCCCCATTGATGTTTGTGTTCTTGCAACGCTTTCTGATCTTAGAGAATGCTGGGGCTACTCTTATGTCCAGGAGGGAGGCTAAAATACTTCTTAATCCTGCTAGAGGCCAGGCTCTACCCACTCCCTTAATTCCCCTGTCTCCCCCCCCCCCGGGGTGGATCAGAAAAAATAGGGCAAGCCTCTTTTTCAGTGATCCTTTAAGAAACCATTATGAGCCCTTTGTGCTTTCTTTCCTCCACAGGCTGTTCCCAAGCCCATTGCACTGGAGCCCTGTTTTGGTAACAGAGCAGCAGTCCTTTCAGTGTTTGTGAGGCTTCCTAGAGGCCTGGGAGGAATCCCCCCGCCAGGACAGTCAGGTGAGTAGATGTTCCCCTTCGGCTGACATGAAAGCAGCAACTTGCCTTTGGCCTTGAGGAAGGTCACCCTTCAAGCTAAGACATGTCAGTGGTGAAAGGGACCTTAGAATACAAGAAATCAGCCGGGAAACATTTCTTAAGCATCTCTTTGTGTTTAGATGGTGAGAACACCAGGCTAGGCCCAAGGAGAGAAAATTTACAAAACAGAATCTTAGAGCTGAGAAGGGCCTTAGGAGATAAAACGTCAGGTCTGGAAGAAAGCTTAGGGACCAACGTGTCCAAAATGGAACTCATATTTCTCCGATAACCCATTTCTCCTCCAGAACTCCTCATTCTGTTGATGGCATCATCCTTCTGGTCATTTGAGGTTCACAGTATGGGTCATCCTTGACCTTCCTCTCTCTTCTCGTCCATTCAGATGCCAAGTCTTATCAGTTCTATTTCTCTGATATCCCTTAAATCCATTCCCTTCTCTCCACTGATACAGCCTCAATGCTAATTCAGATCCTCAGAACCTCTCACTTGGACTATTAGAATAATTTCTTAATTGGTCTCCCTGATTTTATTCTCTCCCCTCTCCAAGTCGATGTTTTTTAAACAGACTCAGACGTGTCATCCAGCAGCTCAGAAATCTTCAGTGGCTCCCTAGTGCCTCCAAAATAAAATGCAGACTTCTAACTCTGGCCTTCAGAGCTCTCTGCAGTCTGGCTTCCGCTCACCTTCCTGAGCAGCACGCTGTTACCCACCTCTGTCTACTGTTCGCTTACCTAGTACCTTCCTCGGGTGTCACCGACTCTGCTCGCCCCAACTGGAAGTGTCTGCTCTCTGAGATTTTCCTGGAGCCTTTTGTCAGATTCCCTCTTGCCTTTCACACCCTGCCTTGGACTACATTTCTTTTCTTGCATGTTGAATTAGCCCACACAGAGCCATGCCCAGGAAGGAGGTAAGCTCCTCAAGCAGGGACTCTGCACCTTCATGCATCCTTTTCTCCCCGAAGCTTCACCAAAGGCCTTGAATTTGATAGGCATTTAATGTCTGTCAAAATGAAACCATGGCGTGAAATGCATTTTCTGACAAAAGTAGATGGTTCTGTTTCCTTCCACCAATGTCTGGTATCCTCACAGGTGCTGGACAGATAGTTAAGTAGCCCATGAAAAGCATATTATTCATTTTCCCCCCCAGTACCTCATTTTACTTCATTTTCGGTTCCTAATTGTCTTCCTTTCCCTCCCCCACACATTGAGAAAGCAAGAAAAATAAAATTCATTACAAATATGTATAGTCATATAAAACAAATTGCACATTAACCACGTCCAAAAAAAAGAAAGAGAAGAAGACATGCTTCAGTCTGTGCCTGGAGCCCATCAGTTTTCCATCTGGAGATAGCTTGTATGAGTCCTTTGGAATTCTGGTGGGTCACCATGTTGATCAGAGTTACTCAGTCTTTCAAAGTTGATTATCTTCAAAATATTGCTGTTACTGTGCAGATAGTTCCCCTGATTCTGCTCACTTCTCTTTGCATCAGTTGGTTTAGGTAGTCCCAGGTTTTTTGGAAACCATCCCCCTCTTCATTTCTTGCAGCGCAGTAGTACAGTATTCTATCACATTCTTGTACTGTAACTTGTTCAGTTGATGGGCGTAGCTTCAGTTTCCAACTCTCTGCCACCACAAAAAGAGCTACTGTGAATATTTTTGTACAAATGGGTCCTTTTTCTTTTTTTTTTTTTATCATCTCTTTGGGATACAATTCTGCTAGCAGTACTGCTGGATCAGAGGTCAAGCACAGTTTGTGGCTTTCCGGCAGACAGGCTGCTTGTCAGTGCTTATCCTCTCGGGGTCTCTTTTCAGGACTTGCCGTAGCCAGTGCACTGGTGGACATTTCTCAGCAGATGCCAATTGCTTACAAAGAGAAATCAGGAGCCATGCGAAATCGGAAACAGCAGCCACCTGCACAGCCTGGAACCTGCATCTGATGGTGGAGCATGAGGACTGTTCCTGTAAGGGTTTTAACACACAAGAACAGTTGGAAAGGGAGGGAGGGTGGGGGGAGGGAGGGCCACAGATTTTACAGTCATGGTGCAAGCGACTGGAGATACTTGGAGAAGGCAGCGTCCTTGAGCCCAACCTTGTCTTGCATGGTCGTTTGCTTTGTCTGAAAGTTGCTCCAGTTTGTGTTCCAGAGTCCACCCTTTTCTTTCTCGTCAGATTCATTTAATTTAATTACAGGTCCAATAATGATCTCGTCATCATTATGGGAAGTCAGTGTAAATAAAGCCAGGAGAACAGTTAGGAATGAATGACACTCAGGTTTACACATGGAGAACTGTTCCTGGGGACTTGTATTTCTCAACTGTGCAAAAAAAAAAAAAAGATGCAGTGTTTACAGGTAAATGTTAGTCATCGATAACTCACCAATGCAGGCTTTTAGGGAACCTTCAGGTGAAGTCACTTAATTTTCATCTGAAGTGTATTCTCTGTTAAAAAAAATGCTGTTTATTCTTGAACCATCTAGGCAGAGATATCTCTCTCCCGTGGAGTGGTATTTTTCTAGTTGAGAATTATTTACAGTCCATCTCTTTGGAATCATGTCAAAGTAGAATAGAATGAGACTATTTTAATATAAAGATCAGAAATGTCACTTGGAAAGAATGCAAATTATTGTGGTTTTCTAAGGAATCTTGGTTAATATAGTCTTAACCCATTTAGAACACACACATGTGCACACACACACGAAGTGCCTAGACTTTAAATAGATCTAGCAATTGGGAAATTAGTATACATAGGTTTTTACATAATTGCATTCCTATATTCCCGTAAAATTTAAATGGTTACCCTAGGCAATCTGTGCTCTTTTCTAAAACCTCATTTGCAGCCAGGAAAGATGATAGAATTTTCCCACCCAAGGATGTGCTTAACCTGGTAGCAGTACCTGGAAGGGAAAGTAGATTTGAGCTACAATATCCTATGTAAAAACTGCTGTTCTCACCTCTTGTCCCAAGTCAAAGGTGTGTGAATGTGGGGTGTCCCTTGTGTGTGTCCCATAACCTTCTAGGTCTCAACTTTAGTGTTCCTATTGGCCCTTCCTGTGCTTACTCCCAGGGCACAAAAGTGGAGGTGACTCATCCTCCACACACCGCCCTGCTCCCCCTTACACCTCCCCCCCCCCCAATGAAGAGGATTGGGAGCACCATGTTGGGTGTTCTTTGGCTCCTGGGAGCAAGACCCAGCTCTGGTTCCTGTGTCCATTTCCATTTTAACCTCATCTGCCTTGAGTCTGTTTCCTTCAGGGTCTAGGCTAATGGACTCAGACATCTGTCTGGAGTCCCTGATGGGATTCTATTCAGTTCACTTCAGACGTGTGCTAGGCCCTTTGCTTGGCCCGTGGATCTAACAACCTAAGAGGGAGGATGAGATGTAGACGTAAATAAGTATTGTACAAAGTAGAATGTGATAGAGGCAAAGGAGAAATTCAGACAGTACTGTGGGGAAATGTGAGTAGGAGGAGGTCACTTTCAGCTTTGACCAAGGGTCAAAGCCCAGAGCCTGCCATGACATGCAAAAGGGGAAAAAAGACATTCACCTTCTTTCTCATCAGGAGGAACCTCCCCACCTCAGTCTCCCCAGTTGTGGGAGGCTCTTCTCCACCAACTAGAGCCCATGATGAGGACTGATAGAGAATCAGCACATCCACAAGTCTGAAGAGAAGAAACTCAGGTTTGCCAAATGGAGTGAGCAATGAGGGGCAGGAGGAAAGGACTCTTAGAAACTGGAAGTACTGCAGTTTTTTTCCCCCCATTTTCTTATGCTCTGTCTCTTAATGTCCATAGTAGCCAGTGGGAAGAATCACTCCCACGCTACCTCAGCAAGGCCTAGGCTGTGACAGTGGACTAGAAGAACTTCTTTCCCAGCTCATCTCAGCACCGCTCTGGTGGTGAGGGAGGCATACCTTGGGCATTTGGGCAGCCTAAGACCTCTGAGAACAAATGCCTTGGGGATTATCTCCGAGATGCAACCCTGAAGAAATGCAACAATTAGAGAGCTTTTTCTGTTCTCCCACCCTTATAACCCACCCTACTCTTTGTAAGATCCCCAGGAAAGCTTTTTTTCTAGAAGTCTTTTTTTGGGGGAAAAAACCCAACAATAACACTATCTAATGTACAAATGAATTACCTCCAATAGACTCAGTTCTCCGAGAATGGACACTTTCCCCTTCACACAATACTGGCCAAGAGCAAGGGTATATAACCTCTGAAGGTCCCTTTCAACTCTTCCTCTGTGTTTCCAGGTGAACCCAGAGAAGGAGACCCCACAGCCCCCTCTGCCTAAGATTGTCCATCCAGCTTCTACAGGAGGTGCCATTTATGTAAAGACCTTGAGAGTGATCCAGGCCTGTGTTAGGAATGGGGAGGTGGGGAAAGAAGCTGTGGCAGCTGCTCTTGCAAGGAGGTCACCTCAGCATTGACTCTGAGGACTGACTTTCCCTTTGCAGAGATATCTTCTCTGTGCCTCTCCCTCGACACCCTTCAACAACCCCCGCCCCTTCCTCGCTAATGTCATTGTTGGAAAAGTCCTGCCACAGAGGGGCTAACGAGCAGCTCTTCAGTGATTTACAGGAGAGCACACAAGAGGAAGCAGGAAGTAGGAGGCAAGGCAAGGAGAGCCCTGCGACAGACCAAGAGTTAGGAATCGCCCTGGGCTTACAGCCTTCCTTCGTCTGCTCTCTGCCAGCACTCGGAGTGTCTGGGGGATTGTCATGTCTCTGCCTCAGCCCTGCTACCTTCAGCAAACCCCTTCATCCAGACTTAAAGTTCAGCTGGAATGGGGAGAAGCGAAGTCTCTGAGGCTGACGTCTCACTCCTCAGCCAGCTTCGCGGCTCTGGAAACAGGCCCATCTGTCACCAGAGAGCCTGTGAATAAATGAAGACCATTTTAATGACACAGCTAAATAATACAGAGGCATCGTGTACAAAATGCCAAATCTTTGAAAATGCACACGAAACAGAGAAACTGCTCATGTATTTTTGATGCATTGTAAATGATGCCTAAGTTTTGTCTTAATAACATGCCCCAGTGCTAAGTACTGGGTATCTTTCGGAGCTCAGAGAAGTCATCCAGTTAGATCCTGATGCTCTGCCAATTGAGCAGGAAAAATATCCCCAGCATGTTGATGCATTTAAATGCAACTCATTTCAAACAAAATATCTCAATAACGCTTTTCTCCTACTTTAAAAAAAAAAAGGGAAGAATCAGGCAGTAAGTCAACTTAATGCAGCTGTTCCTCAGGAGAATGTTGAAATGAAGCCGGTTTAGCCTCTTGTCCTCGGAATTGGCCCAAGCCTCCGTTTGCCAGGGGGCCTTGGTGTCAGGGCAGAGGTTGGATGCCCTGAGTTTCAGCCCTAGAAACATTTCCGTTGGTTTTTATAGTTGAAGTATTGTGAGACATGGAAGCAAAAATTCCAGAGCCATGTCTTAGATGGTTGAAATTCGTGGTTGTGGCTTTGTTAGGTTTCTAATGGAAATTTTCCAGCCTTTTAGCTTAACGCATGATAAAGAATGATGCCTTTGGGCACTGAAAAACAAGAGTTATTTTTATTTGGTTATTTTGTTTGCAAATACCTCCTATTTTTCCAACAAAAATTTCATAAGTGTTTGTAGCCTTTATGTGCAGCAGCCAGTAACACCCCTGTTTACTTCTTTCCTCTCTTCCTCCTTCCCATATTTTTATTTGCCTAGGAACTTGCAGTCTGTTCTCTGGGTACAGAGAGACTGAGGTCCCTTCTACCTCTCCCTAAGGCCCATCAGCCCAAGAAAAGGGCAACCTGATTGCTGTGAGATGCGCTGGGAGAGAATCCTAGGCCCACAGATTTTCCCAGGTCATGTGTGCAAGGAGGAAAAATAGGGCTGGGCAGGGAGGTCTCTGGGTAAAGGGGACCAGAACATTGAGTCACTGACCCTAGAATTGAAAGTGAAGCTTTTTCTAGTCCCTCTTCTGGGAAAGTTGTCATTAGCCTGGTGTAGATCACGTGCACACTCACCTTGGAATTGGGGTGACTGGGAAGAGGAGGTTGGCGTGGCCTAGAGGATCATCGTACCAACCAGTAGGAATAGATATTTTACTTTAAACAGCTACTGCACAGCTTTTTATCTTGTTTGGTCAAGTTCAAGTTTATTGGGGGTTTCTGCCAACCAAGCACACAGTTAAGGCAAAGAGTCAGGTTTTTCACTTCCTTACCTTTATCAGACATGCATTTCCACAGGTACCTTTGGGTAGAGTTAAGCAAGTGAGGTGGTAGTGATTGAAGAAAGTAATATATTCCCTGTAACAGGAGGTCTCTCAGGAGAGGCTGAACGAGAGCACTGATTATGAGGGGTGGGGATGTAGAGGGGATTTTTGCCCAGTTTGGACCAGATGCCCTCCAGTTCTGAGATTCTGTTCAGTGGAAAGGTCAACAGCCAAACTATAGAATTGGCTTTGACTTCTACCTGGACTATGGAGAAGGCCTGTGAGAGAGGCCTCCCATGCCCCGGTAAGCCAGATTCAAGGGCAGGGGTATGAACAGAGGGAAGAAATAGGTTGATCAGAGGCAAATTATGCTCAGGATACTTGCTGTCTCTTCCACTTTGGGGCTCAAATGACAGTTACCCAATTTACTGAACTTTTCTTAAACAATAAAAATTCTTGTGCATGTCTTCCAGGTACTGTAATTATCCCCAAGAGACGTTTTCCCCCTGATTAGTAATTCACACTAATAAAAGCTCTGCCAGGGAGGAAAAATTGTGTAATCACCTGTAAAATCTGTCAGTCTACCCTTTTAAAAGAAATCCTGAGAGAGATTCCCACTTATTCTGAATTTGGACCTAGCACACATTAACACTAGTGAAACCTATTTCCTTGAACTAATTCTGTCTTTGGAAACTCCTTGGGTCTGCGGTTATTTCCAGTTCTTCTGTGTTCGGACTCCAGCTTAGTTTGTTAATATGTATAATTTCGCATTGATTGCACTCATATGTAAATACGGAGTAAGTATTGTAAACTATTTCATTGCTGGGGATCGTGGGTGTTATACATACACAAGTTAGGACTGCAACTTTTTGGTATTTTTTTGTATTGTAAGATAACAGCTAATTTAAGCCGGAACAAGAGAATTCTGGGAGGTCTGTGCATTTTAAACACAAATGTGAAGTACATGTATATAAACAAAAAGTAAATACTGTAATACAAAATTTCCTTCGGAAATAAAAGTAGAAGATCTGGTTAAAGTGGGCCTTTTGGCTCTAAGTATTTGCTCTCACATTTCTGTCTTATCTTTTATTTTTTTGGTCACCAGAAACTTTTAAGATACTAAGACAAAAAAAAAATCCAGTAGAAAAAAGATGCCTTTAGTCCCAGCCATTGATTTCACTTAGAGTCTCCATGTGCCAGTCTGTCTGCAGGCTTCTCAGTAAGATTAGCTCTTGGAGTCATGAATTCCGTACTGAGAATGTATTGGAAAGTCAGTGTCTTGATTCTTGAACCAGATGAACTGAGTTTGAGCTCCTGTGATACTCACTTGCTATAAGACTGGGCAAGTTATTCAACTGAGATAACCTGTCAATCACTTTGCAAGTATTAAAACTTGATATAAAAGCTAGCTATTGTTACCAAGTGACTTCATGTCTCTGTGCCTCCGTTTCCTCATCCATAAGATGGAGATAAAAATACCTGAGCTGCCTACCTCATAAGAGTGTTATGGGGAAAGTGCTTTTTGAAGTCTTACAGCGTTCTAAAAATGTAAGTAGTTATTCCTGACAGAATAAACCCTCCAGGGAATTATGACCCAATGAGAAAACATGTCAACTTTCTACTTCTGTTTTGCCCTGCAGCCCATTAAAATCCACCCCTCAACCCCCAGAACTGGAGAAGAAACACAGCTTTGCTGTGTGTGCCTTAATGAATTCTGCTAGAAGCCAGAAGAAGCCTAATTGTTCAGAGGAATGTGTTGGTGGGACAAGAGAATCTCCCAATGTATTTCAAAAGCATTTGTATCACCTACCTCACAGGGTTGGTTGTAAGGGATAATATTTGTTGAGTTTTTAAGTGCTGTAGAGAGAAGAGGTGCCCTGTCCCCCACCTGTCCCTGAAGAAAGGCCCCCTGGCTCTGCCTTGGCTTCCCCTCCTCTCCAGGAGTCAGAAAGGGCCCACAGTGGCCCCGAGGAGCAGAACAAGATGTGGCTGAGGGCCCCCTCAAGGGTGATCACGTAGCAGCTCAGGTCAAGCCCAAGAAGACCACCTTCTCCAGCCATTGCTACTCATAATTTCCCCGTTTTGTTCATTGCATTCAGTTTAACAAGATTTTGTTCATGCATTACAGGGGACAAAAGAGCAGTATTTCTGATGAGACAGTGTGGTACAGTGGAAAGAACTCAGAGCTTCAATTCAGAAGGCCTGATTTCAAATTCTGCTTCTGCCATTTACTCACTGTGTGTGATCATGAACAAATAACAAACCTCTCTGAGCCTCAGTTTCTCTGTCTGTAAAAAGAGGAATGATAACCTATCAGTCCTAACTTCTCAGGGTGGCTTGTGAAGCTGAATCAGATAATGAAATACTGCGTCAGTTTTAGAGGCTCTCTAAATGCCAGCTATCATTATCTGGTCCAGGGCTCCATTTTTTGCTATTTTGCAGATGAGGAAAGCAAGGCCAAGAGAGCCCGTGGCTTCCCCCAAGTGACACAGCCCCCCTTTATCTTACATTCAGAAAACACTTACCGAGCACCCATGGGGCCACCCTCCAATTCCTGTGCTCAGCTCGGGCGCAGAGATACAGAATGCCCAGGACTAGACACAGTCATTGCCCCACATAGCACAGGATCCCATAATCTCATTAGAGAAAGCAAGCTTGTTGTAGAAAACATTCAACAAAATAAGGCAGTGTGTGATCAGAGGCCGGGGAAGGCTTCGCAGAAAAGGACTGGGCTGAACCTTGGAGGATGAAGAGGAAGGATAAAGGGCAAAGTAAACAGGAGTGGGCATCAAAAACCCCGAGGTGGGCCTGGGATGAGGGCTAGTCACCAGGCTTTTGAATGACCTTGGGAAATGGGAGAGGTGCCATGGAAGAGAAGGAGGAACGTGCACATTGCCACTTGCCAAAAAAGGAAGAAGGTGGGATCTGTAAGCTGTACACCAATGAGCTTGATGACTGTTCTAGAAAAACCCTAGAGCACATCATTAAGAGAGTGACTGGTTCAAACCTAGAAGGCAGGCTTTGGCAGACTGAGCTCACTTCCCTTTCTGAGAGGGTGTACTTAGATCGAGGAAATGCCATAGTTGAAGCGTAACTACCACGTCTGCAGTACTCACTATAAATTTCACCAAAGCATTTTGCAAATAGAGAGATGGAGAGATATGCATTGGATTATAATGCCAATGTGGAGCTGGTTGAATAACCAGGCCCAGAAGAGTAATGGGATCATAACCCTTTGGATGTTCTCTAGTACAGTACCCAGAGAATTTGTCTGTGGCCCTGTGCTTATCCAACACTTTTATAACTTGGAGGAAGGCATACATAACACACTTGTCAGATTTGCAGGTGATGTGAAGCTTCGGGCAATGTCTAGCTAACATGGTGAATGACAGGATTCAAATATAATCTTGATGGGGTAGGATAATGGGCCAAAACAAATTAGATTAGATTTTAAAAGATTAAGAGTAAAGGTCTACAATTATATTTTTAAAAACCAGAGCTAGAGAATGGGAGGGATGTGGCTAGACAGTGGCTATGAAAAATAGCTAGTTTTGATGCACTGTAAGCTCAAAACGGGGCAGGTAGGTGGCACGGTGGATAGAGCGTCAGGAAAATGAGTCTTCCTGAGGTCAAATCTGGCCTCAAGCACTAGCTGGTGGTCCTGGGCAAGTCATTTAACCCAGTTTACCTCAGTTGCCTTATCTGGAAAATGAGCTGGAGAAGGAAATGGAGAACCACTCTAGTATTTCTGCCAAGAAACCCCAAAAGGAGTCACAAAGAGTTGGAAATGACTAAATGAACAAGAACAAGCCCAGTGGCAGCCAGCAGTGTGACATGGCGGCCACAAAACGATTATCTTCAGCTCTACTAAGAGAAACATATTGGTATGTATATAGCCTATAGCAGATTGTGTGCTGTCTTGGGGAGGGAGGGGGAGAAAAATTCAAAACTCAAACGCTTATGAAAGTGATTGTTGATAATTCGAAATAAATTAATTAAAAAAGAGAGAGAGAAGCATATTGAATAGAGCACTGGCTCTGGAGTCAGGAGGACCTGAGTTCAAATCCAGCCTCAGACACATAACATCACTAGCTGTGTGACTCTGGGCAAGTCACTTAACCCCAATTGCCTCACACACACACACACACAATAGAAGCATAGCCTCCAAAACAAGGGAGATAATAGGCTTCATATACTCTGCTTCAATCAGGCCACATCTGGAGTATTGTGTTCAGTTCAGGGCATCATGTTTTAGGGGACATGGACAAGTCAGAATGGGTGGTCGGAATGGTTAAAGGACAAAAGAACATGGTGTTACAAGGATCAGTTGAAGGAATTGCAAACGTTTAGTCTAGAGGAGAGGACAAGATCACAGGAACAAAGATTTAGACTTAGAAGGGCCCCTGGAGATCTTTCAACAGATGAGGAAACTGAGGCAGAGAAGCTAAATGATTCATTGAAGTTCACACAGGAAGAAGCAGAGCCTTCCTCCCCTTTGACCTTGACTCCAAATCCAAAGTCGTTTCTTCCACTATGCTGATTTACCTTAAAAAAAAAAAAGGGTACCTTCCTCTCCCTTTGCCATGTCCCTCCTCCACATCCCCCTCTTTCCCTATTTCATGCCCCACTTGTTTCTCCCGTAATGCCAATTCTCTTCTGTTCAGCCTGTTCCACATTCAGACAATTCCACCCCAAATTCCCTCATTCCCCTCTTCCCAGTGCCCTGCTCCTGCTCCTCTCAGCCCAGGCCGGCCTCTTGACACCCTTTCTTCCCTTCAGCACACCCTCATCGTCTTTCTCTCGGTCTGTCCTAAGCATTTATTATTCCTCATTTCCCTGTCTTTAAGTATTAGGAGGCTGTCGTATGGAAGGAGTATTAGACTACGTGTTGAGTGCATTATAAGGAGAGTCTCGGTGAGGTACAGGTTGAGATAGATGACCTCTAAAGTCCCTTTCAGGCCCTTGATTCTGGGGACAAACCTGATGTGTCAAGCTATGGTGCAGAGTGAGATAAGAATTGATTGGTAGGGTAGGACCATGATACAGAGGGCCATCAAAACCACTGGGTTCAGGGGACATGAAGTGTGACTTGGCAGCGGTGTGTATGGGGAAGATCACTGGCTGTTACCTTGGGATGGGAAGATCTGGATGCACATGGAGCTTCAGGCATTTACTGGCTGTGTGACCCTGAGGAAGTAATTTAATCTCTCTCAGCCTTAGTTATCTCATCTGTAAAATGGGGCTAATAAGAGCACCTCATTTCCCAGGCAGTTATGAAGATCAAATCAAATTAATTTGTGTACATGTGTGTGGGACACCAGATTATTGTTAAAACAATTGTTTGCAAGTTGAAAAGAAGAGGAAGCGGAGAGATTGATGACTTTCTCTTTAACACGGTAAGTACCTCTCCTTATGCCCCTCTGCATCACTTCATATCTTCCCATGATCCTATGAATTCTTCATATTCATGGCTTCTTCTTGCATTTCATTACATCTTTTTACACTTACATACCACAATTTGTACAGCCGTCCCCCAATCGACAGACATCTATTGGGTTTCCAGTAGTTTACTGCCACAAGTAGTACTGCTATGAATTGTTTAGTATATATAACACCTTTCTTTCTGTCTTTGACCCTCTGTGCCTAGCACTTTTCCCAACTTTTTCCCCAACCTCATTACTTGGTTCATGGTCTTCATAGTGGAATGTCAGCTCTTATATGGAAGTCCAGCATGTGTCAAGTCGCCAATTATAAGGCTGAGGGTGACGTTGGAGAAGAACACTTATGAGCCAGGCACTAAGCATAGGGCAGACCGTGTCACTCCCCAGCTCAAATTCTAGTACCCCCCCCATTGCCCTTAGCATGAGTTATAAACCACTCTGTTTGGCTTTTAAAGCCCTTCATGCCAGTCCCCAACCACTCTTTCCCACCTTGTTATACATCATTCCCTAGTTCATATCTGGGTCTTTGCACAGCTGTCCCCAAAAGCTTGGAATGCACTCTATCTTCCCCTCAGCCTTGTAGAATCCCTTATTTCCTTCAAAACCCAGCTCAAACACCACCCTTCTACA